TGGACCTGGGTTCAGCAACCTTGCCCTTGAGTTCTGGCTAGGAAAGTACTATTCACAATCGAGATTCAAACCATAAGAGAACATTTATTTGGAAAATCACAAGAGGTAAAAGAAGTAATTTGTAGAAGAAATGGGCTTAGGAAACAAGTTATAGAGGCAAAGGAAGGGCCCTTGGAGCTTAGAAGTCAGCTATATGATGCAGATATTTCCCTCCAATCTGTTGCTTGATGTTGAATTTTGTTATGTAATTTTTGTTGTTATCCAACTATTTAAAAATTTTTTTCTTTGCCTTCTGTTTTTTCTTGCATAGTCTTTATATGATGCCATTAAATATTTTTAAACAATAAAATAAGTGTTATAATACCAAATAGGAAAATGTAATACATTAGTCATATTTAATTATATTAATTATTTTTTTAAAGGTGGACAAATCTTACATAATATTGGTTTGTCACAATATTGAATAATATTAGTAATTAGTTAAATTCCTCTAATTTTAAGAAGGAAATATTTCCTTTTGTGACAGCATGGATGGACCTGGAAAGTATTATGCTGAGTAAAATAAGTCAAAGAAAGAAAAAATACCATATAATCCTATTTATATGTGGAATCTAATGAATAAAATAAACTGATGAACAAAATAAGTCTAGAGGCATGGAAACATGGAATAGACTGATAGTTGTCAGGGATGAGGGGGAGAAGGGGACTGGATGAAAGAAGGTGAAGAGATTAGCCAAAGAACATATATGCATAACCCATAGAGACAGCATTGTGGTGATAGCCAGAGGGCAGTGATGGGGGTGAGGCTGGAAGGACGTGGGCAAAGGGGGAAAATGGGACATCTGTAATAGTGCTGACAATAAAAATAGAGATAAAAAATAAAAGAAATTGAAACTACGGGGGGAAGTGATGGATGTTAACTAAACTTATTGTGGTAAGAGTTTATATATATAAAGTTTTAATGAATTTTGTTATGTCGTTTTTGTTGTTATTCAACTATTTCAAAATTTTTTTCTTTGCTTTCTGTTTTTTTCTTACATAGTCTTTATATGATGCCATTAAATATTTTTAAACAATAAAATAAGTGTTATAATACCGAATAGGAAAATGTAATACATTAGTCATTTTAATTATATTAATTAATGAGATTAGCCAAAGTATAATCTATACTAATAAAAGGGTAATATGCTAATTAGACTGGGAGACCTTCCGGGAGACCGGCCAGGGAGGGCAGTTGGGGGCCATGAGGTCGGCAGGGGAGGGCAGTTGGGGGCGATCAGGCTGGCGGGGGGGGGGCAGTTGGGGGCGAGCAGGCTGGCGGGGGGGCAGTTGGGGGTGAGCAGGCCGGCAGGCAGAGTGGTTAGGGGCGATTGGGCAGGCAGGCAGGTGAGCGGTTAGGAGCCAGCGGTCCCAGATTGCGAGAGGAATGTAACCAGAGTCAGATATCCCCCGAGGGGGTCCCAGATTAGAGAGGGTGCAGGCCAGGCTGAGGGGAAACCCCCCCCCCCCCTTCGCTAGTAAACCATACCGGATGAGACCTCTGTTTATCTTATTAATACACTGAGAAAAGGCCCGGGGGAAAAAAAAATTTGTGCCCTTTGGGGGGGGGGGAAAAGGGGGGGCCCCTAAGCCCCATCCTGGGCCCCCCCCCCAGTCGGGGGACCCCCCCGGGAAAAAAAATAACCTTTTGGGTTTAAGCCCGCCTCCCCGGGGGGGAAAGGGGAGGGCCCAAACC